CTGTCCACCACCCAACGGGTGAGGGATAGAGAGGCAGGCATGGCTGTCTGCAGGAAAACGCCCCCACGGTCACATGAAATGAGCAGCTTTAATGCACAGACATGACTAGGTCTTCAAAACACATCGTGGGGCGAAAAGGCAAGCCACGGCGAGATGGGGACAGTCACTGACACCTTAAACACACAAAAACACAATCCTGAACATTTTCTGTGGGTGCATAACATGAGTGCAAAATTTGGAGAATACAACAAGTCTGGAAGGATCTATAGCTCACAGCTGTGATGACACTGGGGAAGGGGAGGGAAGGGGACCTGAACTGCCTCCATTTTTAAAGTAAGTTTGGTGCCTGTTTTACCTGTGCTACCAAAATAATTTAAGATAAAAATAAAGTCTTTGCTCCTTCTTGCTTTCTCAGCAAGGCCTCCTTTGAGCACCCAATTTAATAACGAGGCCTGCCCTGTCCGCACACTGCCAAGGCTCTGTACTTGGCTATATGCTCTACTATTGCCATGGCACTCACACCCTCTCCCAGGTGACCGAGTCAGGACCAGGCTCACTGCGTGTCATCTCCCTTCCTAGGTTGGAGGTTGACAATTCGAGTGATGAGGCAAAGCCAGCTCACTGCCTGTTTTCACATAGCTCAAGGGCTAAGAATGGTTTTGTGTTTTTAATGGTTGAAAATCAAAAGAGGGATAATATTTTGTGACACATGAAAATTACATGAAATTCTAATTTCAGTGTCCAGAGAATTTTATTGGAACACTGCCACGCCCATTCATTTGTCTCATCGAGAGCTGCTTTCTGCTATAAAGGCAGTGTTGAGTGGCTCAAAAGCCTCGACTATTTACTCTTTGGCCCTTTGCAGAAAAGGCGGCTGACCCCAGGTCTGGACTGTGAGCGCTGAGAGGGGATCTCAGTTTTGTTCCCTTTTGTATCCCAAGTGCCTACAACAGTGTCTGGCACATAGCAGGTGCTCAATAAGTCTGGCCGAATGAGTGAATGGAAGTATATGTGGTGGAGCATGTCGCTTTAGCCTCCTGGAAAAAGTGACGACCCCCCGCCCCCCAGCCCCAGCTCTGTCTGGCTGACATCACCGCCTGTCGGGGGCCTCGAAGGTGGGCTGAGGTCTCCCTGAGCTGCAGAAGAGGCAGGGAAGGGGGTGGGGTGCAGTACTGTTAGCTCCAAGTCCCTGGAAAGGACAAAGAAGTGGGCGGCAAGGTCTGGATTTAGCAACAAGTGGGCCCCCCCCCCGCCCCGGTCTCCGGAAGGGGTGGCACGGCCTTACTCAGTCGCAGGGGTCCCCTCTGTGACCTCCACACCCACTTCCGCTCCCTGCCCTCTGCCACCCCTGCGCCGGTCAGCTGCGCTTTGGTGCCCTCTGGTGGGCACCGGGAGCAGCTCCCTCCAAGGCAAGCGTCGCTTAAGTCTCGTTGGCCACCCTCCGGGAGGGAAACTGACCTGACCTCCCTGGCCCGATCGACCACCCGCCGCCCAGGATCTATCTCTCTGTCCCTTCCCGTCCCCACTCTGGCCCTCTCTCTGTGGCAGCCCAATGTCGCAGGATGCCCTCCCGCCGAGCTGCAAGCCCTTTCTCTGATCAGACTGGGCAGGCCCAGGGCTCCTAGAGGGCTCCTAAGCTGCCAGACAGTGTCCACCTCTGTCACCTCCAGTGTGCACCCCTCTCTGACAGAGGATGGGAAGGTCGCCCTTGTCCCCATGGCCCAGGGATCCACCTACAGCGATGGGCAGGGGCAGCCTAAAAATCTTCCTTGTATTTTCTACACACCTAGAGAGGTCCCCAACCCAGCAAGGGCTTCCTCAGTATAAGTAAAAGAACTTTTCCAAGTTCTGCTTTGGGAACAGGAAATTTGTCTCTAACCAGCATGATATCCCACCTAGCAGGGATCATTACGTGCTCGTCACCATGTCCAAACTGCACCACTAGCAGCTGTTCTGTCTGCCTCTGCCAAGAGACTGTGGGCTCGGGAGGGCAAGGGCAGCTCTGAGCTGCCTCAGTAACCCCAGCCTCCAGCCAGAGCCTACCTGAGTAGATGGGGCATGAATAGGTAGATGGATGGTTGAGTGAATAGATGAGTGGGTGGGTGGATGAATGCACGTCCTGTGGCAGAATTGAGCTTTGCAGAACTCTAGGTCCCAGCCAGGGTCACGATCACTCCTACCAGTCATTCCTATCCCATCTCATGAATCCTATTTCCAAATATAACCTGGTCCCACCACTTCCTTCTGCCCCTCACCCACTCCCACATCTCCAGCACCCCAGCCTCCGTCATGCTGAGCCCACTCTGGCTTCAGGGCCTTTAGGGCAGCTGGTATCAAAACCTGGAACACTGTCCTCTCAGAACTTACCAGAGATGGTACCCCCTCCCCCTGGTCAGTCCATCAAGGGGTCTCTTCTCCCCCCCACACACCAGCCATCAATGTCTAGCCCATCACCCTTACATTCTCTACAGCATATATTACCTGCCTACTTGTTTCTGAACCCTGCCCTTCTCTCTCCTATGTCCCCAGCACCTAAGCGATGCTCAACTCCTGCTTGGGGAAGTTGAGCATCCTGCCCCTTATTGGTGGGCACTTCGAGTTTGCACGTTTCGCCCTGATGTATCAGAAAGGCAAGACAATTCTGGTGCAAAACTCCAGTGAGAGAGGTCAGAGCTGGGTGCCTCCCAACTGTGTGCTGGGCAACGCTCTCCCCTCTCTGAGCCTGTTTCATCAGGAACAGAATGTCCACCTCGCAAGGGGGTTGAGGTTTGGGGATGGAGGAATGAAAGAGAAAGCGTTTGAAATTAGAAAACACAAGACACATGCGCAATACTGTGAGCTGCATTTATTGTAGTGTCTACAAACCACTGGCAGCCGACACCTGTCAGGAACGCAAGGACCCTATCCAGCCTGCATCTGGGAGCCATGATGCTGAGTGCATGCCTCACACTTTGCCCACCTGGCGGCCGCTCCCAGCATCCCTGAATGGCAGAGCAGCCAGGGCTCCTGTGGGCGACTATCCCAGAGGGATCTAGAGTGGCACAGGGGTCAAAGCTGGCCCTATGCCATTCGTTTGGCTTGCAGGTTTTTAAAATTTTTTTATTAGTTGCCAACAACTTAAAAATCAAAATATTTTATATAAAAATTTCTGGCTTCACCATATTTTTGACATTAGAGCTGCATTCTAATTTTACAGCAGTTAGCTACAACTTAATGACAGCCCCCAACTTCGGACAGGGATCTATGCTTTGCCATAATCCCACCACACTCTATCAAGGCCAGTTGCCATTATCAACTTGATGTACAATTATTTCTCTTGTCACCAGGAACCGTCTTAAAGTCAAAGTTGCACTGCAAAGGCCTACTTCATTCATTTATCTGACCTACCTGGCCCTCAGGACAGCTGAGTCTGAGATCTGGGAACAAGCCCAAACCCCTCCTTTCATCCACAAAAGACAGAGCAGGGAGGGATACAACAGTCACTGCACACACACCCCTTCATGTTGCTGCTAAGGGGCAGATCTGAGAGCAACAGCTAGACTTTCCCGAGTCTGAGCCAGTTGTGCCTTTTGAAGATTTTAACTTCCTGAACCCTGAAGCACTAGAAAGCAGCGTGGACACAACCTCTTGACCAAATGCGGTGACACTGCCAGAGGAAAGCCAGAGGCAGGGAATGCTATGTTGGTATGCCCTCTGGTGGCGATGAGGCAGCCCTACAGGCCACCGGGAAGATTTTGAATTTGTTTCAAGGTAGCAAACCCAGAAGTTAATCATCCATGGCCTCCCAACCAAGCTCCCCAATAACATGGGTGCCCAGCTCTGGGCTTCCAGCTACTTCCTTCCCCAAACCTCTCTGATCTCAATTCCATCTCGCAGCCACCCTCCTGGGCCCCCTGGGACCCATCTCAGTACCCAACAGCGTCCGGCCTCCCAATTCTTCACATTCCTGTGCCTCACTCCTGGCTTGGCCACAGCAGCCTTGTGGTGTTGGCAGGGAATACCCTACAGAAGTGGGGGAGGCCAACTCCCCGTCTAAGGGGTCAGGCAGGGCACTTAGGTGAATAGAAATGGACGAGGTGGGGCCTCAGAGAACAGGAAGTGTGTGTCCCAGGAGATATTGCCACTGAAGTGCTGCTGTGGTCAGATGGCCATTCCTACCGAGGAGTCGAGGATCTGGACTTTTATGTGAAATATACCAAGTTTTAAAGGTTGGCTCACATGTATACACAACCCAGGCCAGAAGAAACAGGGCAGAGTGGGTCAGGGCCAGGGGCCCTGCAGCTGACAGAACCTCCAAGATGGTGGGAGCAAGCAGTGGTTTTCAAGGTTTTGTTTATTTGAGTAGTTTGTAGCCATCATCATGTTTGATCCTGAGAGGCAAACAAGGGAGAGAAAATTCTTGGACTCAGTTTAGAGTCTGAGACATCGAGGCTGAAGTAGGCTTCTGGCAGGGTCAAGGTCACAGCTAATAGAGAAGGGAGCTCTGAAGCTGCATGAGGCCATGTCTTGGACAACAGCTCACCCCACAGCCCGCCCCACAGCCCACCCCACGCTGCCATGCAGAGAAGTGTGTCCAGCCTGCGACCTTACTAGTTCCCTGAAGAGCCCACCACCCAACAACAGCGAGACAGTGGCTCCCTGTGCACACCCACACTGACACGCATCCTCCATGCACACAGCTCTAAGTCAGGCAGCCCGGGCAGCCACACAGCTTTCTCTGTGGGTGCACAGCACACCCGCCCATGAGCCCCACATGGGGCTCAGGTCCAAACAGAAACGCCTCCTGCAGTCCTGCCCATCGTGGCACAGTGGAGGGGCCCTGGGTAGGCCAGGAGTGTGGCCATGGCCAGCGTGCAGCCTCACCAGTTGGCCTTCACTGCCTTGATGTCACTCACGAGGTTCTGGGCCAGGCAGATGCCAAAGATCTGTGGGACAGAGGGCAGGTAAGGGAGAGGCGGTTGGCAGGGTAGCGGGATCGGGGGTACTGGGGGAGGCATATGGGGCCTGGGCAGTACCTGGAGGAGGGCAATGCCCACAAAGACCCCGGCCACCACGACCAGGTTGTCCTGCAGCCACTTCTCAAACTGGCCCACGCAGCCTTTGGTATGGATGGAGCCCTGCTGCTCCAGCTCCTGGTGGGCAGGGGAGGGGTACACACAAGCACTGGCTTCGGCCCATCTGCTACCACAGGCCTCATTTCAGTCCTGCCGCCAGGCTCACCTTGCCCCAGGGCCTCACGCCTCAGGGCCTGCTGCCTGGAGCTCTGCCACAGGCCTTCCAATAGCTGGCTCCTTATCACCCGGGTCTCAGCACAGATGCCCCTCCTCCGAAAAGCCTCCCCCGACCGTCCAGCCCCAGTTCCATCCCCTCCTTTATTTTCTTCCACGCTCTTAGCTGAAATGGTCACATTACTGCTCACATTTCTGTATTAAAGAACTTCCTGTCTCTCCCTCCCCTGAAGTGGGGGCTCCTTGAGAGCCAGGGCTTTGTCCGTCACAGGAGCATGAATCCCAAGTCCAGGGCACTGCCCAGCAGCCAGTGGGTGCTCAGCAAAGAGTTGGAATGAGCAAACACACCTGTGCCCATGCCCATGGGCCCACTTCCCCATGTGTGGCAGTACCAAGGCCTGTGTGCCTGGATGGTTCTTGGGACTCAGCACCCTCTCCCCACAGAATCCACTTTCAGGGGAGCTTATGGAGGAGGGCCCTTCCCATCCCAGTGCTCCCAGCTACCCAGGCCCTGTCCTTGCCTGCTCACCAGTTTGAGACGAACATCGTATCCACACTGAGTGTTCAGAACATCCTCCTGAGGAGAAACAGGCCAATGAGCCGCTGGTCAGGGGAGGGGCGCCCCCAGGGGTCCACTGCGCACGGCACTGCACTGGCTCTTGCTTCTGGGGTGGTGGGGGGAGTAGGTGGGACATAGATTCTGCCGCATCCACCACTCTGGAGCGAGGCTCACTGGGGCCCGTTCGCCTCTTTGCCTGACACCAGGGCGCACGGCTGCACAGGCCAGCACACGCCAGCTTGAGCTGCCTCCTGCTTAGGAATTGTGCTTTCTTGTGTTTTATAAAAATAGGAAGAAACCTGGCCCTCAGTGTCTTAGGTAAACTGTAACTGGAGGGATGCTACTGTGAGAAGTTTCTGCTCTGAAGAAAGCCATTGAGGGATCAGACCCCCCGTCCCTGCCACTGCAGCATGGCAGCCCAGGGGCGTGGTGGCTGGCTGCGGCCTGGGTGGCCCCTGCCACATACACCCACAACTAAAGGAGTGACTCAGTTCCCAGCCCCAACAACCTTCAGGCCAGCCAGGAGCAGACATTGCCTGGGCTGCATTTAACAGGGAACATAGGGTGCCAGGAGCCTGGTGGGCCAGGCCCTGCGCCCAAGGTACTGTAACTGCTATTGTACTATAATCAAAAAGACAGGTTTTCCTGAAAAGGCAAAGCCCCCACTCCAACAGGCCTCAGTGCTGCCCACGGACACAAACTCCTCAGCCTGGTGGGGTGCCCCATGTGAAATGACCTCCTCCTGACACACACAGCACCCAGGGTGGGGCCTGGCGAGCCCTCTGGTGAGATTTTCCAAGACTGGGCCTGAGCATGGCAATGCCCTCCAAGCCCCTCACCAGCCCCACTCACCGCAGGGTCCCTGACGCAGCAAGAGAAGGGCACCCCGCAGCGCTCCCGGCTTGGGTTCAAGTCAGTGCAGTTGAAATAGATATTGAGGTTCCAGTCGTTGGGCCCTCGGGCTCCGCAGCAAGACCACTGGAATGAGATGGGGAGGGCTCCAGGTGAGCCAGGCCCACCCTATTTGGGGACAGGCCCAGGCTGTAGAGAGACAGGGCTGGGCTAGGAGGGCAGGTAGAGGCAGATAGGCAGGTAGGTACCTCCCTGCACCCCACCCTGGGCAGACAGGCTGGGCCTGGGCCCAGGGCCATCAGAGTAGTTCTAGGCTCCTGCCAGGTCGGTAAGAGCAGGGAGTAGTGGGAAGGGGCTCCTGAGCTTGTCACCCTAACCCATAAGAGGCTGAAAAAGCAAGAGATGGGGCAAGGACGTTGGCTTAAGGACCCTGACTTCCTCCAGGACACTCTAAGGGGTGGGGAGCGGGCCAAACTCCATGAGGAGAGGCACCACTGAATCTATCTGTGCTGGGTCTCCCCATACTCATCTCAGAGATTTTACAGAGCCCTCTCTTCCTTTCTGCAGGGACAGGAGGGCAATCCTGCCACCCTCGTACCTTCCTATTACACTTCGTATTTGCTGCTGTCAGCACCCACATCCCCATCATCCCTAATCAGAACATGGTGGGCTGCTTCCCTAGGTGGGGCAATGGTGAGTGTGGGGCTATGACGAATCAAGGGGCTCATGACCTAGCAGGGGAAACAGGAGCAGCCTTAACTCACTGAAGCAGCATGGGCTGCCAGAGAGCCAGCTCCAGAGCAACCAGCTCAGCAGCAGACACAGCTGGCCCTGTGGGCCGAGGCGGGGAATGAGGTATGGCCCTGTGGCTCTATATGCATGGGTCCCAGAATACACCCTGGCCTCTGCCTGCCTCCTCTCCTTCTGCCTAGCACCTGCTGCTCCTGCTAGGGAAAAATGCTCCCTCTCTTCACATCCCAGCTCCCTCTCCTCCTCCAAGGTCACCTCCCCAGAGGCTCTCCCCTTTTCTACCCTTCCCCATTTCAGCCCTTCCCACAATTTATAATTTTATACACACACACACAAACACATTTGTTTGCTTTGCTTGTTTACCGTCTGCCTCTCCCCCTAGACTGCCATCCCCATAAGGAGAGGTCCCTGGAATCCCAAGCACTCAGCCCAGGGCCTGGCACATGATAAGCCTGTAATAATTCTGGGTTGAATGAACAAACAAACCACATCCTAACTGCCTAGCTATATGTCTGCCTTGGCCCTAAGTTGAGCTCCTCAAAGCAAGCGCTAGCTCTGGTTCATCCCTGGATCCCAGAGCAGATGGGGTGTGACTGTGTGTGTGAGTGGGTGAGAACGTGCAGGTGTGAGGTGTCTAGAATTTCATGAACTGTTTACGACTGCTTTGTCACAGGGGTAGGTTACAAGCTTAAAGGCAGAGCTTCTTCTGTTAGGGGTCTCAAATGTAATATGTTCAGAAGCCAAACAAATAATATAAATGAGAGAAGACTGACAGGTGTAATAAAATACAGAATGGCAGGGACGGTGGCAAACAAAGAGCCCCTGCAAAGAGGGTAACAGCAGTGTAGCCCCAGCTGATACTGTGACCCAAAGTTTAATGGGGGGGTGGGGTTGTTGTACATTTCCAAATTTCCTCCTATAAGCGTGGCATAAACCCTGGCTTAGCAACTGCCAATTTGGAGCCTCTGGCCTCTCTTCCAAAACCCCATGTCTCTACAGGGCAAGGCACATGGGGGATCCTCAAAAATCACCAGGGGCTGGCTTCCCCTCAGACAAGGGAATTCCTGATTCTCTTTCTGGGGCTTGCCTGGCCAGGGTGGGCAAGGGAATGGTCCCAACACACAGGGATCTTGCTCCCACACTCATCTGCCTAGCAGGCACCTCCTGCAGGTGTCTGGCTAGTGCTGGGTGCTGGACTCACGTATTCCTGAGCAAAGTCAATGAGGTTCTGGAGGTCAATGTCGTCCCGATAGGCCTTGACGTTGTTGTTGATAAAGAGGTTGAGCTGGTCTCGAATCCAGTCCTTGAAGACAAAGGCCAGGATCCCTGTCGCCAGCTCCAGGAAGAAGATGAGGCCAAGGAACACGGAGAACTGGAGTTGGGAGCACACAGACGGTTGGGGTCGAAGACACAGGACCTGGGAGTGCCACGGGGCAGAGTTCCACCTCCCACCGGGATCCAAAACTATCCAGCGTCCCCATCTATCATGCTAGTTTGTTGATGGTAAAGACAATACTGCCCTATCTTCCCATCCATTCCACTTCCTCTGGTAATCACCCCTGTTTTCTTTGAGAAACCACCCACCACATACACCTTCAGTGTTGGTAGCTCAGCTGAAGTCACCTCCACACCTCTTTCCCCATTCCCGGATAGAGGACTAGGCATGCGCCAGAAGCTCACCAATCAGAGTGCTACCTCCCCCAGGGCCACAGGGATTGGTCCAGAGATGGCCAATCAGAACCAAGGAGATGCAATTAAAAGACTTTGACAGACCAGTTGAGAAGAGAGAGCCTCGGCCTCCAGAAGGAGTTCCTGGAAGGGCAGCTTGAAGCAAGCGCCCACTGCTCCAGGGAATCTTTCCACCCCATGGGGACTGAAGCCAACCCAGAGGGACAGGGCTGAGAAACAAAAACACCAGGCCAAGTGACACTGTGGTGGCCCCTGGATCCGAATGTGCTAGCAGTCAGCACACCCCTGGGCTTTTCTTAGTGACTCAATAAATATCCTTTTATGCTTAGGCCACCAGTTTTCAGTCACTTACAACAGAAAGGATCCTATAAATATAGATAATACAAATCTGATGATGATGCTGATTATAAATAACATAATAAAACTACCCATTATTAAGCACAAACTATATGTAAGAAGTGAGTAGTAGGAGGTTGGGGTCCCCAGTGAATAGGCGGGGGACACTCACAAACTTGAGCAGGAAGGTGTTCTCCCGGAGGGCTCCGATGCAGCCAGCAAAACCCAGCACCGACATGACTCCTCCAACCACAACGAACAGCCATACGGGGTCAAGGCCTCCCAGATCCGTCAGCGCAGAAATGTTGGAGAGAACGCCCTGTGCCGGGGGAGCAGATGCAAGTGGGAACACTGATCCTCCTACCACTTCGACCCATGGCAACCCCACACACTACCCCACCACCTTACCTTCTCGCCCCAGGCCCAGAGGCCAATGGCCAGGAACAAGGCTCCCAGCACCTGCAAAAGGCAGTAGCAAAGAGCTGAGGGCTGAGACACCAGCATCCTGCTCCACCCTCAGCAAAGCCTCTTTCCACCAGCACTCAAAGTCTTCAGGGGCAGAGAAAGGAAAAGGGCAAAGGGCTGTAAATGGGATCCAGCATCCATTTCCTTTTCCCAAGAACACATCTCGGTGCTTCTTCCCCCACAGGATATGGAAGATTGAAGGCTCCCTAGCCCTGTGATGGACCTCAGGGTCCCTTGCCTGAAATCAGAACTGGAGCAGAGAGCAATCAAGACACTCCTGCCAAGCAGCAGCAGCAGCAGCTGTGTCCTGAGCCTCTACTCCCGCTCCAGCCCATGCTAGGGCTCAGGGCTCCAGGACTCTGACCCCTCTCAAGTCCAGCCCTCCTGCTGCCTTCAGCTCACCCTCAACCCCCCATTTAAACCTCTGTTTGCCAGAGGCCATTTTCTGCCAAGCTCCATTCTCACAGCTCACAACCAAAGCCCCCTAGATGACGAGGAATCCTGATGCAGAGCAGGACCCAGCTGACGGGCACAGCCTGGGCCAATGGCTGTATCTTAGAAAACATGTGGCTACAGCTCCGCCTGGGCCTTCTAAATGCCACCTGACATCCTGTCCTCAGTTCCTTACTGGGAAGAGACCTGGATGCCAAGGCTGCTGCCTGACTTTGACCACCTATCACCTCCTGCCCAAGCCCATGTCCATGAGCCCTCCTCTTCAGACTGTCCCTACCCCTACTTTTCTACCCCTCATCACATAGCCTGTCAACTTTGCCCCATCTTTAATGCCGGCCCCTCTCTGACCCCAGGCTCCTTCTACTGCTGTACTCTTTCTTTAGAAATGTCTTTCCTCCCCGCACCCCCCCAACACTGGATCTGGGATGTGAAACCAGACATCACTTCTGCCTCATCCCGTTTGACCCGCCCATGGCCTTTAGACAAACTACCACCATTACTTTCTCCTCCTGAACTCCTCAGTAGTTAACTCAATGCCATTCCTGGCTATGCCCCTTCCGTTCTCAGCCTCGCTCCCAGCACCCTGCTTCACCTATCCCATGCATATGGCCACCACACCCCCTCACCAGTTCCAGTCTCAGCCTTCTGCCCTTCTGCCCTTCCTACTCATTTTCCACCCCTTCATGACACTGACACCACTCAAGGCTCTCCCTGGTTGCAGACCCCTACTGCAAACACCTCCGTGTCTCACTGTTCCAGGTGCTGGGACTACATCAGCAAATAGGACAGATAGCTCTCAGCCCTCATGGAGTTTACACTCAAGTAGGGGAAATCCACAGTGAGCAAATAAGGTAATTTCAGATACCAACAGAGCCTTTAAAGAAAATCAACAGGTCAGAACAATGGGAAGTGGTTGGGGATGGTGGGGGAGCACTTTAGTTAGGGTAAGTGGTGACATTTTAGATCAAGGTTTGAATGATGAAAAAGTGCAGCAAGGAGAAGAAAATTCCAGGAGGAGGGAATGACAAAGGCCCTGAGGTAAGATCGTGTTTGGTTGTGCAAGGGAAAAACTAAAGGGCATCAGGGCCAGACCCCACAGGGTGCTGGAGGCCATGGGGATGAGTCTGGACTGTACTCTAGTGAGAAGCCACTGGAAGGCTCTGAGCTGGGTAACACCACAACAGGGTCTGCTTTCCATTAAAACAAAAAAATCTCTGGGCCTATTTCATAGGCATCTTCCTCAGGCCACCTTGACCTAAACCTGAAACCTTCTCTCCACAACCAAGTGGCCCAGTCCTGGCAATTTCGTCTCGCTTCCCCTGGAGCATTCCTCACCTGTCCCACCCCTCACCACCCCAGCTTTGCCCCAGCCCTGGTCTCCCTACCTCCAACCCTGCCCCTCACTCACCTTCCCCATGGCAATTAGATCTGCCTCTCATACAAAAGATAGAATAGATCCATCAGCCAGCATTGAAGCCCTCACTGCCCTCAACATAAAACTCAAACTCTGCCCCAGCCTGGGGTGGAGAGGGGGCGGCCTCTGGAAGAAGCCTGAGTCTCTCTACATCTGTCCCTCCTTGACATTCGGGGGATTCCTCTGCTCAATGCTTTGCCTCATCTTAACCCATTTACTGGCTGTGTAACTCTAAGTTAAATGACTTAACCTCTCTGTGCCTGTTCCTTTATATGTAAAATGTAGATACTAATGTAGCTTCAAGAATACAGTAAGAATCCATTTAATCTGCCTAACCCTGAGAAGCAGGCATCATTATCGCCCCTCCTAGGTAAGGAAGCAGAGGCCCAGAGAGGAGTGACTTGCCCACAGTCTCCCAGCTGGGCTTGCTACAGCCAGGCCTCCAGACTTCCCCACCAGTACTCTCTGCATATCCCACACCCTCCAAGAGCTGAGTGCTGCTGGGGCCAAAGGACACCCACACACGGGTGACTGCAAGGGAAGCATGTGGATAGAGGGCAGTGCCACTGAATCCCACTAAACAAAACTGAATAGGGCTGGCATTTTGACTAAAGCAGCAGGAGCAGAGACTGCAGAGGCAGCAAGCAGCCTTGGAGAGATGGGATGGGAGGAGATGGGAAAGATGACTTGGCAGGGCCCAGGGGCAGAGATGCCACCCTGGGATGCACACCAGCAGCTCCCTTCTCAGGACAGGGGCAGCCCTGCCCTGGAGCCTCAATTTGGTCAGCTATGGAATGTAGAATTCTGTTCCTCAGAGCCAGCTCCCGGCCTCTCAACAGCGGAGATCCTCCTTCCCCCAAGACTCGGGCTATTGGCCCTTTCAGCCCCAAAGCCTCCCAGTAAGGACCTGGGGGTGGAGGGGCTTTGACCCAGCCCCCTTCTCAGAAGCTTAAGGCGAGGCACCAGGCCCAGGTGCTAGAGGGGCAAGAGGGCAGAAAAAACCCGGCCCTTCCCTTCATGGTAGACTGTCCTCCCGAAACCAGGGGTGGGGCTCAGTGCACACCCCACACCCCAGGGTATCAAAGAGGGCTGGCGGGAGAGAGGGCGACCCGAACCACGCGTGCCCCTGGAGCCTTCAAGGAAACACTGGCCCTCCTCCGCCGGGCCTTAGGAAGACAGGGCGCCTCCCCTTTCCCATCTCAACCCTGCAGTGGCTGGGACCCGCCCCCCCTGCAATCTGGGCTTCCCCGTAGTTCCCCCCCGGTGGTCCTCGGGATGGGCGTGAAGGTAGAGGTGGGAAGGAGGAGCTGGGAGACCGTCCGTCCCAAGCTCTCGTTGCAGGGAGTGTTCTTTCCCCAATAGGGGACTGAACCTCCTTCTCCCCGTCACCCCCAGCACAGGGCCCGGAACCCATCCCACGCTCACCCAGAAGACAATGTTGAAGCCAAACAGGAAGTATTTCCCGCAGCAGCCGACCTCGGGTTCCTGGAAGTGCTGGTGCTTGCCGGGCATGGTGAGCGGCCGCCTGCCGGCCCGGGAACTGGAGCGGGAGGCCGGGCCCAGCCCTCCGCGGGCCGCCCTGGGCTAGAGCGGCCCGGGGCCTAGCCCGGCGGCTGTGGCTTCATGGCCTTGGCCACACAGAGCGCCCGTCGGGCTCCGCCCGCTCCACAGGGACCGCCCCCGGTGCCGGGACCGCCCTGCCCCGAGCAGGCTGGATGCACTCAGAGAGCCCCAAGGCCCCTTGGCCTGGCCCCGCCCACCAGCGCGACTCAGCCGGCTCTGAGCCCCTCCTCCGGGCTTGCCCCCGCCCCCACCTGGGCTCCGCCCCTCAGAGCAACTTAGTCCCCGTAGTACCCCGCCTCTGGCCCTGGCCCCGGCCCCGCCCCCGAAAGGCTCCGCCCCCCGGCTCCGCTTCAGGCGCAGACTGCCGCAGAGAGCCGCCTGAGGTCCTCCTGTGCGGTCTGAGACACACTCGCTGATGGCCGCACAGAACTCTGGCATGGCAGACCCCCCAGATCCCCCCCATCCCTCATGGTTCAATGCCAAAGCCACTCCAATCACCGGCCTTACTGTGCGAGCCCATCTCTGGAGAGGAGTAACTACTGCAGATGGTGATTTGACTTATGTTCTTAACACACATGCAGGACATTTTATTACAATGAAGTCGAATTAGATGTGTGTTTCACTCACTGGAAATTCAGCCCAGGTCTTGTGAGTGCCGCGCCGACTGCTCCCTGCCTCCCCCTAGCTCAAACCCAGTTTTGGCCTGATAGGGCTCCTTGCTACCTGGGAGTCTGACGCGAGCCCCTTCAAAGCAGGACTGGAGCAGATCTAGGTTTGGGAAGGACTGAATCTTACTCAATGTTAAAGCCTTCAAAAATAATTCCAATTTTGTTCAAAAGTATTTAGAACAGGAACGGAAGAGGGTTTGGGCTTAATCGTCTTCAAGTTAATCCAGCTCTAGCAGAGCCATAGTGGGGCTCTTCACTACCCTCCTTCTCTCTTAAGTGGAGGTGAGTGGGTGAGGCCCCGCCTAAGATTGGCCCTGAGGCAGGCCAGGGCTAGACAGCCCAGGGAGAGGCAACGCAGGGCTGTCTACTCCAGCTACACACAAATCCTGTGAGATGATGGGGTTCTGCCTCTAAGCCCCTAGCCTTTGGGGTGGGGCACAGCCCTACTCCATAGAGGGTTTGGGATTCAGGCTGGGCTCCAAGGCTACAACTCTGATAAGGTTATCCACAAAGGTTTGTCAGCAGAGTGATCACCAATAGGAGAGACCCCTTCTCCCGTCCCTGAACTCCAGCTCTCAGAAGGTCAGTGGCCTTGAGTTCCTCTCCCCCAATGGTAGAGTGTGGCCCTCAGGCCGCCTAGCAAGCCCCCTTCCCAGGTAGGCACAGAGTAAGTGCTGGATCATAAGATTCTCTCCTGTCGTCTTTCCACCTGCGGTTGAGCCCCCCTTCCCCCAGTGACTTGTCCCACCCCTGGATGAGGAAACCCAGAGATTGCTTCACCTTTCTGCTGCCCTGGGTCCTCAGCTTGGCCGCCCACCACCACTTTCCACCACAGAGCAGCTCCTAGGCCTGGGCCTCAATTCATGTTAAAGAATGTTCATATTCACTCCAGAACAGGTGAGAACCATGCCCTCTATCCCCCAGTGCTGCCCAGGATGGACACACACACAGCAGTGAGAGGCTCGGACAGCTGAATGGGGAGCGGTGCCAAGGCCCGGCCCTCTCACACCACAAACTTGTTCTTGGCTAGGGTGTTGCTCTTGGTGGCCGTGTCTGCGTGGGCCTGGTATCCAATGATGGTCTTTGTGGAGAGTCCCAAGTGCTCTTTGTAGACACGCCTGGGGATTAATGAGACAGGCAGTTAGCAAGCAGGTCCTAGAGATAACCCGGGACCCTGGGTCCTTTGCCCAGAGCTCCTACCCTGGTTCCAGCCACAGTCACTACTGTTTTGTGTGTCTAGCCATGTGGAAACCCAAAACAGGACCAGTGCAAAAGAAAACTGTTCTGCAGAGGTCTCTCTTGCAGGCCAAGCCGCCTCCTATTTCACTTTCTCCCCTAGAAAAGACTCAGCCCCCACCCCATGCCAGAGACATCCTCACCCAATGTGGAGCACGCCCGTCTGGTTCTCTGCCTCCCGAGTCCACACCGCAATCTTGTCCCCCTTAGTGCGGATGTTGATGACAGCCCCACACACCTCCCGGCTGTACTCTTCAAAGCTCTCCCCGATGAGACACAGCAGCTAGGGCCAAAAGAGGGAAAGATGAGACCTCCAGCTGTGACACAGGGACTGTACCTGCCATCCTGGAGACTACTGCCACCATGGGTCCCACACCAGCCCTGCCCTTTCTTTGGGGTACCCTCCCCTCCCAGCCCCCAACTCACTGTCTCCAGCCACAGGCGGTCCAGCTTGATGTGGCGCTGCTGTTTGGCAAGGCTGACCAGCCAACGGCCACCCCGCTTATTCCTGGGGTCTTCCCACATGGGCTCGATGCCATCCTGGGAGGCCGTTTGGCAAATCAACTGCCTCCCTTCATTTAAGGGAAATGGGGGCCCAGCCACCTGCCCAGCTCCCACTCCTCTCCCTCAGTAGGCCTCCACAGACCAAGTTCTCTTGTCAGCATCCCCTCTGTACAGGCAAGTGCCACCACCAGCCATTCGGCCCCCAGATCCTCCTCCGAGCTCCCCCAGGCCCCTGAGCCTCAACATTTGTCATCTTTTATAGCCTTTCACGTGTGTGTTTGTCTCCTTTACTGAACGGAGTTCCTAAAGAGTTCAAATGCAGGTGATTAACGAAGCCTCTCGGGGCAACCCCAGTTTAAGCCAGGCCAAACATCCCAGGATTGGCTGGGCACAAAGTCACCTGGGAATATGTAAATACTGATGTCAGCGCCTCCAGGGCTGGAGTGAGCAGTGTCAGGCAGTTCCGCTGCCTGTCCCTAGTTAAGAACCTGAGCAAAGCCAGAAACCTGGGCTCCTTGTTCCCGCTCCTCCTGACCCACGCACCCGGCTTTCAGACTCTTCATTGTCCTTCAAGGTACAGCCCAGGTATGACACTTTGTCCAAGCTTCTGTACAGCATTTCTTCAATCAGAAATCACCTCTCGGCTGGGAGGGAGGCTGTCCTCAGCACCCTCCCCCAAACCCCCTGTAAGGGAGTACTACAGCAGATGCAGGGGAAAATCAGCCATGGGAATGTGAGGGGCAGGGAGAGCAGCGCTTACCTTGAACAGGGCATAGTCGCAGCCAGACGAGAGCTTACTGGCCAGCTGGATGTGACTGTACACCCTAGAGAGAGCCCCCCCACCCAGGCTGAAAGTCCTGTTTCCCACAGGCCTCAGGCCCCCTCAGCTTCTCACCCAACACCACTGCTTTCACTAACCTTCCTGCCTCCAAGCCTTTGCTCACACTGGTGCCCCTGCCTGGAATTCCATCCCTACTTATTCAAACCCTCAAATCCCACCCCTTCCCTGGAGCCTTCCTTGACCATCCAGGCCCCAGGGGAGGCTTTTAGACACCCCCACCCCAATGTGTGGCTGTTTCTGGTGCCCTGACAGCTGGAGCCCCGAACCTCCTCGCCTAGCCCCTACGGTTTGCACAGCACCTTTCGGATCCCCCCTACTTGATCCTTCACAGATACTGTAAGGCAGCCTAATCCTTACTTAGTGGTTGAGACAAGCTCAGAGAAGGGAAGTAACTTGGCCAGAGTCACAGAACACGAAGAGGCAGAGTCAGGGTCAACTCCTTGCTTCTCCCACTTCCCCGGTTCTCCCTAAGCCTCAGGAAGGCTTAAGGGGGCCTGTGCCCCAGCCCCAATGCCCCCTGCAGAACCCACCAAGCCCCAGTCCTTGCTAACACTGGCAGGACACAGGGAGGGCTGGGAAAGCTGTGTAGGAAGCAGCCCCCAGAGGGGCAGGGTCTGAGAAAGATTCTGAGCTCAGAGCCCCTGGCCCTAGCCTCCTCCGTAAGGAGTAGACACTCACGCCCAGAAGTCCTCCACAGTGTCAAACTTGGTGACCAGATGCAGGTTGTCCTGCCAGGCCCGGCTGCGGTCATTCTTGAAGAACCACAGAGCCCACCTGGCAGGGGAGTGGGGGAGACAGGGGACCAAGAGGAAGCAGAGAGCCCCCATGTCCACCCCCAGCAGCACCTGGGTTGCCAGGGAGGTCTTACCCCTGCAAGGACAAACTGGGAGATGAGATTTGGGATATAGACCCCCTAAAGGTGACCGGAGCCAGTTATCCTCAGGGCCAGGGAACCAGAGGACAAATGGGAGCATTTACCCCAGAATCCCAGCTGGTCAAGGCTTCAGGAGCCACAGGGCCCACGTCTTAGGACAGCTCTGGCCTTCCCCCACAAGGAACTGGGGCCACAAGAGGAAGGGGTCGTCCAAGGCCACAGAGCAGAGTCCCAGCCTACCTGCTCTGCAGAAGGTGCAACTCAGGCTTGACTCCGACGGGGCCCTCATCCCGGGCCTCTCTCCTCAGGGACAGCAGAGCCTGGGGAGAGCCCAGAGCCTCCTCTCCTGCTGAGGGCCGCGCTGCAGCTGCCTCCTTTTCCTCTTCCTCTTCTTCTTTCTCTTTCTCTTTCTCTTTCTCTTCCTTCTCCCACTTTCGGAGTCCACTCTCAGCCTCTCTGAGCTGACCAAAGAAAAGAGTCAGGGTGGGTTGTGAGCCCAGCCGCCCCAGCCCCACCTGCCCCTTGCTGCAGGAGGGATAGGCAGATGGACCTACAGGGCTGTTGGTGGCCATGTTGTGGCAGCTTGGGCTCCACAGAAGACAAGGCATCAAGAGGGCCCCAGCTGCCTCCTTTTAACCCACCAGCACCCTGCCTCCACCCACCCAGGGCAGGTGATGGGGAGGAGCCTGCTCGGAGGGGGAAAGACTTATCCTCTTCTTTCTATCGGTAACCTTTTAGTGAGTGCTTTCTGTATGCAGGGTCCAGGCTGGGGACATAGCTGTGACCAGGCAGACCCAGTCACACCCACATGGGAGGGCTGAGACAGGACTTTGAATCACATCCTGGGTGTCCTGGAGGGTTTTAAACAGAGTGGCCTGTTTCAATATTAGGGGTCTGCCCTTAGTGAAACTGCATCCCACAGAGGGTGGGCCCTGAATTTAAAGCAACTGTCCCAGAGATGGCAGAAGCAGTGACTCTAACATAGCCGGGTGAGGCCAGGTCAGAGACTTTATACATTCATTGTGGTGTTTCCTTGTTTATCTCTGCTGCCATTCACTCCCTCGATGTGGCCACCAATGTCATCTGACATAGGCATTTATCTGGTCTCTAGATGACACATTTGAGTTTATTTTAAATGTAATCATTCAGAAACAGGGAGATTGTATATTAAAAACCCACGTTTTTGGTTTCTCTTGAAAATTTTGGAAGATCTGGCAACACTGGGGCCTCTACCTCACAGGTCCACAACCCAGGGCAGCTGAGGAGCAAATGAGGTTGCACACGGCCCCATCGGCCCCTGCACTCTGGGCCCGAGTACCTCCCACCTGGGCATGAACAGCGAGGGGTAGTGCCACACAGCTGGGGCTCAAGTCCCCCCTGCCCTGACCTCAGCCAAGTCACTGAACCTCTGTAGTCTATTTCCCCATCTGCAACACGTGAATGGCACACAGCTCAGAAGCTCATTGCATTAAATGATATAAAACAGAAAAAGCCCATAACAAGGCCTGGCTCAGAGGTCAATAGAAATCACCTGAGGGGGACCCAGGGTGTGGGGGGAATTGGGAAGGGAAAGACGGAGGGGGAAACTCTGGCTCTGGTTACCCTCTCCCAGCCTTTTCTGCAGGGGCTGAAGTCTCCCCAAGATTCTTAAGAAGGTTTCTCATCCTCCCCTTGGCCACTTTCAGGAACTCAGATCCGTAAAGGGCCAGCCCCTCCTCCCAACCCCACCCCTCAGGGAAGCCCATGACCACCTGGAGGCTGACAGTCAATATCTGTGCAACCCCGTCCCCTAAGTATGTGCCAGGTATGTGCCAGGCATGCGGTTATGTACTAGGAGGTGGTGAGGAGCAAAACCTGGGTGGCCCCCATGCCCTGGGCTATCAGGGAGCCCGACATCAGATGATATCACAAAGGCTACATTTGTCATCACCAATATAGACCTCTGAAGGAAAGGAATTCGCAGGTAGAGTCCATGACCTGAATAGTGGGCTTTAGAGCCGCAGTTCTCAAGCGCGTGGATCAGAATCACCTGCAGGGCTTGTTAAACAGACCGCAGGGTCCTGGCCCAGAATTTCTGATCCCTTGGTGCTGGGCTTGGTCCTGAGAACTGGCATTTCCAGTAAATTCCATGATGATGCTGGTCAGGGACCCCATTTCAAGAACCACTGGCTTAGAGGCAGTTCATGGAAGAGGTGATGTTTGAGCCGAGACCTAAAGCATGAGTGAGCGTGAGCTAGATGGGTGGGGGAGGGCACCTCAGGGCATGGGGCAGCATCAGCTCCGGGGCGAAGGGAACATGGGTACTAGAGGAAGACAAGAAAGACCAGTGTGGTGAAACCCGAAGGAGGAAAAGATGGTATGTCTTGATCCTAGGAACATGGAGAGCCATCAACTGCCTCAGGTAGGTATGGATGGGTTGCTCAAGTAAGCGGATGAGCTTTCCAGCAAGTTCTCTGGAGTTCTGTGTGGGAAACAGACTCAATGGCAGCAAGAGCGAGTGGAGGCAGATCTATTAGGATGCTCATGTAATAGCCCAGAGAAGATGGAGAGAACATGCTGGATTTCAGAGGTATTTAGAAGGAAGACTCTGTGGTGTTTGGTGAAGGACAGGCTCTGGAGAAGTGGGGCATGGCATCCCAGCTAACTGTTACTGCATAACAATCCACCCAATAATTTTTTTTTTTTTTCTGCTCACAGATCTGCAATTTGGGTAGCACTCAGTAGAGACAGCTCGTCTTTGCTCCAAAGCACTATCGGTTGGTGTGGCCCACAGACTGAAGCTGCAGTCATCTGCTCACTCCCAGTGAGACAGTTGATGCTGGTGGTCAGCTGGAACCTCAGCTGGGGTGTCTGCTGGGATAGCTCGCTGTGGCCTCTCCACGTGGCTGCTGTGCCTTCTTATAGTGGCTGGGTTCCCAGAGTGAGCGTCTCAAGAGACGGGAAGCAGAGGCTGCCAGTTTTTTAAGGTCTGGGCCCAAATCTGGCACAGCATCATGTCTCATGGGACTCATATATTTGAGTCCCAGGGCCCACATTCAAGGACAAGACAAAATATTACCTCCCAATGGGAGGAATGTTGAAAAATTTTGGACAGATGAAGTGCTGGAAGAAGGCCAAGCCTGGGGAGAGATCATGAATCTAGGTTTGATGGAGAAAAAGGAAGAAAGGACTCTCCCCCAGCACACAGTCTCAGCTGCCTTGGAGTCCTGGCCCAGAGCCTGGCATGGAATGCCCCTGTCAGCCACAGCACCCCTTCCCACCATCTTCTACATCTTCCAGCTTGGGTGACTAAGGAGAAACCATGGCCCCACAGGGGTCCTGGCCTCTACCCAAGGCCGTCCTAATTCTGTCTCTGGGGGACATCTTCACAGTGGGGTTGAACAAGCAGAAGCTCTTAAATCCCAACTTTTGTTCCTAAATATCTTGCATCTGCCCACTCCTCACCCTCCCTGCGGCCCCCATGCCAGGCATGCTCTGCCATCTCTGGCCTGGGCCAGTGCCCAGGTCTCCCCTACCACTCTCCTTGCTTCCACCCCTGCCTCCCTATAGAAAATTCTCCACATGCCTCAGAGGGTCATTTAAAATATTAATCTGATCACTTAACTCCTTAACTCCCCTGTTTAAAACCCTCCAGAACATTCACGATGTGATTCAAAGTCCAAGTTCTGGGCATACAAATTCTTGCATGATCCAGCCTCACAATGCCTCAAATACTCTGATCTTTCAACAGTCCAGGTTCACTCCTACCTCTGGGCCTTTGCACTCACTTTTTCTTTGCAACTCTTTACATGACTGACTTCTCTTCCTTGTCCTTTAGGGCTTGGCTCAAATGCCACCTCAGAGAGGCCTTTCCTGACCACCCTACCTAAAGTAGACCACTCTCCCCCATGCACTCTTTAACTTGTCACCCTGTTTTATTTCCTTCTTAGTATTTAGCACCATTCATTCATTCACTCATTCATTCATTCATTTAGCTATTCATTCAACAAATACTGATCTAGCAGTTACCTTGCACCAGATACTGTTTTAGGCACAGGGAACACAAACGTGAACAAAATTGATGGTTCCTCCTTGTTGCTTTGAAGGCTCCAGGACTAAGCCCTGGGATCTCTTCTCTGCTCTGTCAACACTTGCTGTTTCATGACCTCATCCAGCCCTGGGCATAAATGTCACATATCCAGTATACCTGGGGCCTCGACCCAGAATCCAGAAAAGCACATCCAAATGTCTGCTCACAGCTCCACCTGGGCATCTAATATGCCTCTCTCTCAGGATTATTGCATCCAAAGCTGTATTCCTGACCTTCCCTGGTCCCCAGACCTGCCCCACCCACAATCTTCTCTATTCTTCCAATTGCTCAGCCAAAAATTCTGGAACTGTCCTAGACTCCTCTCTTTCTAATCCACCAGCACATTTTATCTTTGGCTCTCTCTATCTTCCTAATAGATCCAGGATCCGAACACTTCTCTCCATTTCCATTGCCACCACCCTAACCCAAGTGACTGTCATCTTGTCTGTATTGTGGCAGTGGCATCTGAACTGATACTTCCACCCTTGCCCAGGCACATTCTACTCCCTACAGAGTGGCACTTAAAATGCAAATCAGGGCATGTTGCTCCTCTGCTCACGTCACAGTGTCCAGCGTCCGCAGGGCCCTATCAGCTCTCTGCTCTCCTTTCCCACTCGCTTGCTCCAGCCACACTGGCCTCCTTGCAGGTCTTCGAACGTGCCAGGCCCACTCCTGCCTTAGCAGTTTACTCTGGCTCGTCTCTCCATTCTTAAGTCAGGCCTTCCCTGCCCACCGTATTGAACAGTCCAGGCCCTCGGCCTCACTCCAGCACCATAGATTTTACTTATTTATTTTCCTTATCATCTGCCTTCCTCTATGAGAACATAAGGTCCCCAAGGCCTCTTTCATTCACAGCTGTGTTCTCCAGTGCCTAGAACAGGACCTAGCTCATAACAAGCACTCAGAGGTCAGAGCAAGGAGGGAGAGTTGACCATTAGATTTAACAAGGTGAACGTAGCCAATTTTGACAAGAGTTACAATCTAAAGCATCTTGTTTGGTTACTAGTTCATTTGTTAATTGTCGCTTCCTACTGGAATGTTCTAGAAGAGCGGGCACTTCACTAGTCATGTTTTCTGCTAAATCTCTGGTCTTAGAACAGTACCTAGTACACAGTAAGCACTCAGGAAAAACTGATTGAAAGGAATAGATGTCAATAACCAGTTACCAGTGACTTCTCTCTGGATATCTGTTCTCTCATCTGTAAATTCGGAATGAAAATGCCCACTTTAAAGAATTCTTTTTAGGGCTTAATGATATAACGGCTGTAGTTCCTGGCACACAGTAAGTGGTCAATAAATATCACCATTCCTCTCTCTGTTGTCAGCCCTCATCCTGCTTGCCCGTCTTCCTCCCCAACCTGAGGCCTCTGACAATGGCAGGAATGT